TAGAAATGCATAATTAACAGAGTTCAAAAGGTCATAAACAGAAGCATACTGTCTAGCAACAACAACAAAAATAAAATGATAAATATTTTTGTAAAATCACCAAACAATTTTTCTTTATTGTTGACATATTCTAACTTGACCTAAATCTACTGTGTGGTATGTAATGTCCTGCTGCTTAGAGATACCTGGAAGTCAACATTATGAAGATGCCTTATATTTCCATCAGTCCAAGAACAAGAATAGTCTCTAAGACCTATTATATTGTTCTAAAACTCCTTGTAAGCAGTTTAAATTTTTGTTTTGCGTCCTCAGCCAAAATGAAGGGAAGGATTGTCCAAACAGAAAACCTGAATAATTTAGCCCTCTCTTGGGAGAAAACAAAGTAAATCTCTCTGGAATCTATATAGTTGCAGAATCAGTAGCTCATTGTACAATTCTCTATTTTACTTTGGTTGTATAGATGTTATGTTTAGCATAACAAAAGCATTTTTAAACTTTTGAATGAAACATATAAAGTACAAATGATCAAATTTATATTGTTAAGGTCAATATTTTGTTTAAATCATTTTGTCCATTTAAAACAAAAGATCAGCATCTGGAAACAATTTAACTTTCTAAAGTTCATCCATTATTGTGAAGCTTGGGAAAGGACCAGAGACTGCTTAGAGATTTTTTTTTTTTTTTCTTTAAGTGGTCTTTTATCAATCTGGAAGTCTATCAATAAAGGCAAATAGCAAATAAAAAATGTAATATAGACTTTTCCTATTGCCAACTTTGGTTTAATAAGCTATATCACTTTTGGCTGGATAGGACAAGCCAACTCTTTCTTGAAAAACTTTTCCATCATAAAGGACAATTCATTTTAAAATACCTAGAACCCACAGATTATAGTCTCTATTAAGGATTTTTTGTTTTTGTTTTTTTCTTTTGCTTTCATTCTAGACCCATTAGACTACTTGATTTGTTTATTGATTCAAATCTGTTTAGTTGTGCCATCATTTAATGAGAATTGGCTACACATAGGGAGAATTGATATCAACCTTCAGGGTAGTGTCTGCTTTCATAGCATTTTTTATATGCTTAAGAAGAGATCTAAGAAACAACCCAGATTAATTAATTTGTAGACTTCATGCCCATGCCAAAATTCAACTTTCTAGATTCCATAGCAAAGGAGATATAATTTTGTTTATTCTAACTCCTTTAATTTAAACACATTTAGTAGGGGCAGATGGTTCAATGGAGTCCCCACAACTCCTTATTATCTTAAGGCATATTTGCTTCACCCATTTACATTAGCTATATCTAAACCTTGCAAGCATTTGAGTTTCAGCCCATGAAGTTTAATCACCTTATTTTATAATGAGAAAACAAATGCTCACAGAGATTAAATAACTTGGCCAAGGTTACACAGCTAGTTAGTGGCACTGAGCCAGAGTCACAATCSAAGTATACTGATTCTTTGCAAAAGGTGCTATATTCACTTCACTACGATTTCAGATTTCATCCTCTTTATCGGAACCTAACATTTGTCTGAAATAAGAAGCCGCTGTGTTTTTTAACTTTAAAAACCTGTATCGTGGCACTTACGATTTTTATTCACATCACAAATTTCAAAATGTCATTAACAGATTAAGCATTTTACTACGTGCTATTTTGGTGTTTGCACTCCTCCTCCGCTGCCTTCCAGCTGCTGAAGGGAGAAAGGAATTACACAATTACATAAGAAAAGAATGAAGAGTTTTGGGAGATGAATATGAATGAGGGGATGGTAGGATTATCAGAGGGAAAAACTGCAGAGGAAGGACAGGGGAGAAGGAAAAAGTGAGGCAGTGCTTCCTGAAGATTAAAGAGAGGAAGAGTAGAGAAATAAAGGCAGCCAGGTCACAAAGGTTTTTCTTTCAGGAGATATGCTTATTTTGTGTACATCTGCAATGAACTAAATCCACTGACTTCAGGCAGATTTTTCTTGGGCTCAAGTAGCCAGTCCCATAAAAAATTGTGAAGTTGGCAGAATTTATCTTGGAATTTTCTTTTGAACTTTCGCCCATTCAACCATTTTATATAGAACATGTTGCCTTTTCTTCTTCTCTGAATCACCCCATGCTGAAAACTAGGTCTTATCTGACAACTTAGTTTTAAGCCTCTACTCACTCTGGAATATTTATATTTCAAGTCCTCTCTCTTAATTTTTGAGTGCAAGGACCTCTCAAGGTTGGACAAGGGACTGTTCAAACAACAGTGAGCAGAGAAAGGAATCACTACAAGATCAAAAGAATCCTCCCTAGAGTATCTTCAATTTSAAAACCAACTGACTTTATGTGAGGCCCACCTTACTCACATTAAGCCTGATTTCTAAAGTACTCAGCATTCTTTACCCGCTTTCCCTACTCAAACCCTTAGGTTTTAAAATAGACAAGAAAGATACAAGTAGTATATTTGTAAAAGTTAACRTAGAGAAACATCACTGAAGACCCTAATTCAGAATAAACAGATGTAATCTTCTGATTTTTACTCAATGATCTGTGTCATTCAAAGTAAGTTTTTATTAATTTATCTTCCTATTGAATGTAGGAATATGGGCCTTAACTAATTTAGTATTTATGAACAATGTCTTATTTCTATTCATAATTGAAGAAAATATTAGTAAAATAAGGAGAATTTCTATGAATTCATAAATGGAGGTCACTGAAAAGTTGATTGCTATAAACGAGATCATAAAGTTCAGGGAAAAAAATTAAAATTTCCCAAATCTTCTAAATTCTGAAGCCAGATTCCTTGCATCCAATATTGGGTTCTCCTACTTACTAGTCTCAATTCCTTATCTATATAATTGGAATAATAATAATACCTTAATTAAAGATTTGCTGAGAGGATAGAGTTAGTACTTTAAAGTGTTTAGAACGTTGCTAGTAACTCTGTTACTAAATAAAATATTATAACTAATATTTCTTTCCTGACTTTGATGGCAACTAGTTAAGTCTACAAATTGATCTGCTRTATAACTCAAATTGATGTTGAATTTATACATCTTTATCCAGTTAACTTACTACCTTTAGCATGGTGCAGGTGGAGAAAAGACTATTTTACTTAGTGGAATGACTATAGGCAACAACATTTCTCTTCAATGAGAAAACTGAATAAGAGTGTGTGACTCATTGCTTCTTCATTATATTATGTTTATAAATGACAGAGCACAATTTGCCTTCAAAATCCCAAACACTTTTTAAAAAAGCTTTATTGAGATATAATTCAAATACTATACAATTCATTCTGTCATCAGTCTAATTCCTCCTGCTAATATTTATTGACTATTGTGTCCAAAGCAATATTTACATATTATTTAATTTAATCTTCACAAGAATCCTTAGGGTAGGAATTATAATACTCAATTTTTATTAATCTACAGGTTAAGTACTTTGCTCCTAGAGGTTGAAGTGAAGTTTGAACTAAATTCTACATGGCTACAACATATTATTTTCATATCATACTGCCTCTCTTTGGATAATTACTTTGGAAAAGGGGGAAAATATAACTGAGGATACCCATGTTTAAAGAAACACTAATTTTTTTAACCCATCAGAAGAAAAGCCAAACAAGAAATAGAAGTAACTGGAAGTTGCTTTCAGACTCTCAAGTAAAGGCTGACATGATAATGCAAAATAGTATTGTATAGCAACAAGCAATTATAATATGGATATACCCAAATCAAATACCAATATACAATACTTTTATTTGGTAAGCTTCAGCACTTCTCACCAACATAACTACACCAACCTTCCAAATGAGTTAGGGTAGGCATTAAAAATGGGAAAATAAGAGAGATCATGTCAGGATTCTTGTTAATCATTTTATTTGTCACATCAGATGTTAGACGTTATCTTAAAAAGTCACATCTGGACATCTTCATTCTTGTAAATACGTAATAATTGTAGAAAACTGCTTAACTATGTAAGTGTTGTTTACGTTATTCAGCACGATGCTAGCCACCAAATTTCCAAGAGAGAGAGAGAGAGAGAGAGAGAGAGAGAGAGAGAGAAACAAAAACCCTAGCAGAACAAGAGGAACTCAGTTGCAGCTCTTGTGGGATTTACATTTTAATTTAGGGTTTCCTAAGGAGAGGTAGAGTATGCTATAGATTATAGTGCATGGTCTTTGGAACCTGGGCTGTGAACTTGCCTCTCCACTTGCTATATGTCTGACTTTGGCATCTCGATTTTGGACTCAATTTCCCCAGTTGAACAGTAATTGTTGGCCTCGAAAAAGCTCACGTTATCTAAGTTTCAATTCAGGTGCACACACCATGGGATGACACTAAGGAAATGTTACACTGACACAGAGGAGGTTTTTCCCAGTTTTCTTCCCCTTGGTACCTGTCATGATTCAATACATGATTTTACTCCCTGTTCAGCGAGGAACTGGGACATGTTTTTCACTGCAGCTTAGTTGTCTGGGTGTGCCTGGGGAGGCGTCACAAAGAGCCTGTGAAAAGGTCCCTACCTATAGCAAGGGAGCTGGAAGGAACCTAGGAAGGGCACTGCGGCCAAACGTTCGGTTTCGGATTGTTCTTTGTGCCAGTAAACATTGAGCTTGGGTTCTGCAACTCGCAACCAAAAGCCCAAAGTCACGGAGCTGTAAATTTTCTGCCATATCTTAGCTGTCCCCACACTCCCCGCCCCACCCCACCCTCAAGCGTGAGTGAATACGCAAATAAGKGTTTTTCAGGCGTCCGCAGGAAGAAAGGAGGGGTAGGCAAAGTCGAGGCTGGACGGGCCCTGGCACCGCTGAAGCGCAGAACGCCGGAGCCCTCAGCCACTAGAGTTAAAAGCCGGCGGTCCCAGGCCGGAGGAGGCCCAGGCGAGATGCTGGACGGGCGGGGACCGATGGGGGGCAGCAGACCACAGRCGCGCACCCAGTCCACCCCCGAGGCTTCCTCTTGTCCCGAGGCACCCCCCTCCCCCCGCGTCTCTTTTGGTTTCGACCTGCCGACTGGGAGGGGCCGCGGGACGCCATTCCCACAATGCTCTGGGCGTGCCGCCGCCGTAGCTGCCGCCTCCGCTGCCGCTAGTGGAAGAAGATGGCGGAAGGCGGAGCGGCGGATCTGGACACCCAGCGTTCTGACATCGCGACGCTGCTGAAAACCTCGCTCCGGAAAGGGGACACCTGGTAGGGGAAAGATGTTGAGGTGGTTGCAGTTGCCCGAGGACGGTGGAGGACTGGGCGGGAACGGCGGGCTGGTGTGTTTCTCTAGTGACAGGTGCGGGCAGGTCCGGCGGCGGCCGCCTTAGGCAGCAGGATTTTGGGGCAAAGGTTAGACCCGAGATGAGGGCTAGGGTTCTTGGCTTGTCGGTGCATGCTGAGAGGTATGTGGGGAGCGGCGTCGGCAGCTCGTGCGGGTCCCTTCGTCGTCCTTCCTCCCGTAGTGCCGCTCCCACCTCAGGCCTTCCCGAAGGATAGGTTGTAGTCGTTCGGCGTGGGTTTTACACTATTTTGACAGGTCCTCATCTTATAGCTTATCGTAGTCTCACTCGCTTTACTTTTCCAATCATTTCCCTTCCCGGCATTGTCGGCATCCAAGTTCCCCTTTATTCTGATTCTAGTAGGCTTCCGGGAGTCAGGCTGCAGGATGTTTGCGGTCTGTACTACACAGGTGGCATATGTCAGGGCTCTACTTAAGAGAAAGAAACCTTAATTTCCAGGTCCTTGTGAAAAGGAGGGAGAGGAGTAGGGAACCTTAAGCTTAAGAGAGATACCACGTGGTCTGGTGCTCTAGTGGAGGCTTGGTAGAAGCCGGCAGTATTTCTGTTAGAAGTGCAGCCCTTCCCTCCTGTTTGAAGGATAACATAGGCCTGCAAAAAGTAGATAAGTCTACTTGAGGCTTAAGTAACTTGCTAATATTCAAACTTGTAAAATACTGTACTTAAAATACTGAAGGAAGTTTGTGGAGATTTTAATACTTGAAGCCACAGCAAGGGACATCCAGAATAACTTGAATACATGAATATTTAACATAAAGGGAAAATACTTTTTGGAAGAAGGATAGTGTGCTTCTTCATTATAATAAAAAATTTTCACGTCCCTCTGTCATCAGAACAGTGATATATAATTCACAGTGGTTTTTTTTCCCCTCGTACTCCAGTGTGACTTAATGGAAGGAGTATAATAAGATTTAAACTTATTTCACTTAATTTATTCCATCACTTAACTTGCAATATGACTTTGAGGCAAATTCATGTAAGTCATTGCACCACAGTGTCTTCATTTATAGAATGCACCTTAACAATTTTATTACAGGGGTTATATTTAGATTCAATCAAATATTCCAAAACATGTAATACCTATGAAATAGTCTTAGTTACCTTTTTATCTCTGCCATTGACTCCTGACCAAATGCTGTAGTATTGGAGTAGTTATCAAATAAGCTAATAGTTGGCAGATCTGGGACTTGAATTTAAGTACTTTGATCTAAGCCTTAGTACTTTTTTTCCTACTTTGTTATGCTACATACTGTGTTTCTGTAATGAAAATCCCTAGGGGTGCAAATATACACTTGTTGCTGTACAGCAAATATGGACTTACAAATTACTTAATAATCATTTTTGTTCATACTGGAATGTTGTTCCTAAGATGTTTATTTTTGAGGAGATTTTGAGCATTTCCTAGGACACCTATGTTTACTTTGGCCTGTGAATTTTTAAAGATGAAATCAGGCCTTCTTCTTTATTGTATGCCAAAGAATATCTTTTTTAAATTTTTTTAAATATTGTTTAGTTGTCAATGGATGTTTATTTTATTTATTTATAAGTGGTGCTGAGAATCGAACCCAGTGCTTCACACATGCTAGGCAAACGCTCTACCACTAAGCCACAAACTTAGCCCTGCAAAAGAATATCTTTTAAAAAATTTAATTCACTCACCCTGTTACTGTGTCTTAAAATATAAATGTGGATATCCATAAAATATAAATCTTTGAGTTATAATATATATTAATGTCATGTTTTGGGTATATTGAGTAATGATTGGTTGTGTTTACAGTATGATAGAAGCAATATGTTGAGGCATTGAAGTTTGGTATTTTTCAAATGAGTGTATTTTTGCTTTTTGGCAAAGTTACTGAAAATCATTTTTAGAGTAGGTCCATATTCGAGTCATTTCAATGCTTTCATTTTAAAGAAAAGAAAACAGGGCACAGATATTCAGGTATCTGTGGAAATTTTGCAAGTTTGATCCACACCTTAGTTTTCTCTTTTATTTAAAGGAAAAAATACAGGCAAAAAAGGTATTGGGGAATTTCAGAAACCAATTTGGTTTATCCATGAGCCACTTTACTCGCCAATTACCAGGTGAAACCTGTCCAAAATAAAGAGTGTAAAGTAAAAACTTGATTATAAAGGAAAATAATCTGATAAATAGAAATTATATAATGAACTCATGAGTACAGAACTGGTAAGAATATTTAATAAAAATAATTTAGTTGTTAGGCAGATTTTTGAAACTCATTAGAAAGTTTTTATTTTTAGGGCCACTCTGTAAGTCTCTGGATTAATCTTTTATAGGTATTTGGGCAAATCCTGTCATATTAGAGCTGAAACTACCCTTAACAAAAGTGGAATATTTTCCTTACCACATACATAAAACCATCTCAGAAAGACTGCTGCTAATAAAAAATGGTAGGTTTATCATAAAGTTTATTTACTCTTGAGAGTTTAATACAGGTATTTAGAGTTAGAATCAAATGGATTAAATTAGTTCTTGAGCACTTTGCAAATAAGACTTTTTCCTAGACCTCTAGTAACTAACTCCAGTACCTAGGCAAGTATAAAGATTTATTTGATCTTGCATGAATACCAGAATTCTGCTCATTTGTAAACAGGGAATGATTTTTATATATAAACCGATATTCTACAGGTGAAAGTAAATTAGGTAAGTCTGAGATGAAGAGGCACATACCACTGTGAAGTAGTAGAGAGAGGAAAGTAACACCAATTAGCAAAGGAAGTAAGTCAGTAGTCTCATTATGCTATTTGTTGATCTGTTTGCATTATAATGAGATTCAGAAAATCATGAACAAGATTAAGCTAGAATTTAGGAACTATATAAAAAAGACTTAAAAATCTCAAAATTGTTAAGACTGATCTAGGTAAACAGATGAGTTACAAGGAAAGTTACTGGTTTGGAGGTTTCTTTTAAAATAGACCTATTGAGAACAAATAAACGTTTATCAAAATGAAATCACTACTTTATTTTCCCCAATTTACTAAATGGCATTCATCTACCAATCATTTTCAGTAATTTTTTGTTCTGTTTTGTTTTCGTTTTTGGTGCTGGGGTTTGAATTTGCTCAGACCTGAAAGGCAATTACTGAGCTACGTCCCAGCCTTTTATATTTAAATTTTTACTTTGAGACAGGATCTCACTAAGTTGTCCAGGCTGGCCTTGTACTACTGGTCATCTTTCTGCCTTAGCCTCCTGAGTATCCGGGATTGCAAGTGTGTGTGTGACCTTGCCTAGCTTCATTTTCAGTAATATTTATGTCTGATTATATTTAATGCTAATGTGTAGTTAAATATTATGTGTCATTTTTGTGTAACCCATAGTAACTCTATTAGGTTTTAGGTAACTTTGGAAAGTAATGTTTGTTAACTTGTATTTAGAATCATTTAAAATGTCTTTATTTTTGTTTCAATAAATTGCCAAAGAATTTCAAAGATAAGTGAAGTTTTAAATAGGAACCCTTGATTTCAGCTTTTAGAGCTTTCCCTCTATTTTGCAATTTTACTTAGAAATCTTTAAGGTTTTATTTGTTCCCTTATGTTTATGTCACTTTGACACAGAAAATAACTTTATAATCATAAATCAGTTAATAATGTAAAGGGAAATTATACACTAACATGAGTTCCAAATTGTTTAGTATGTACTTAAGAAAATTATACATTACTATTTAAATTAATTTTAGTTGTGCCAGGGTGTTTACTACTTATGCTATTTACAGGAAATGAAACAAGACAGCAAAACTTTTTAATACTGGTAAATGGGTGAAACTAAGGACAGAAATAATGCCATTAAAACACATTTTTCACAGTTTAGTTGTTTAAACATCTAGAAAAGCATTTTTTTCATACTTTAAGCGTTTTCTGTAAGTTCATTAGTGAATCAAGGATTAATATACCCTATTTAGCCAAGAAAATTCAGTACTAGTCAGTGATTTCATTTATGTAGTTTGTGACATTCAGGCTTGATTTTGTACTATTTTCCTATTAGCACACTCAAGGTATTTTTACAAAATAGTTCTATGTTAGTTACTAATCTTGCTTGTACATAAATATAATAAATAATAAGTTTGTCAGGCATGACCTACAATGTTACATTTAAGAATACTATGTGCCAATTACTGTTATACACATAGAGACAGATTTGTTTACTCTTCATCACAATTCAGGGCACTTCATATTTGACAAAATAAGAATCCATGGCTCAGGGAGGTGTTCACATGGTGGTTCAGCTGGGATTTGACCCTAAGTGGTATGGTTTTTTGGTTCATTCCCTGAACTTGCTGAACTAAACTTGCTCTTATATTAAAGATTCATTTAAGAGAGTTTTAACTGTAAAAAGAAAAAGAAGGACTTTTTTTTTCCCCTCTTTAAAGGAAGTCTATTTTATATTTAGCTGCAGAATTCTACCATTTTATCCCACACTTGTCTCTTGTGACTGTTCAATTTAGATATGATGGAGTATGTGGGAAATCTTAACATCTTGCTTCTGGAAATTAAAACATATTTAAAGACTGATAGGTGAATAACTAAATATATAGAACAGATATAATCTTGTTCTGAAAATACCTTCAAATAAAAGAATCTGGGATCATTTATTGTTGAGCTTCTAAATTTTAATTGTTTTATCAATAAGCATAAGCTTTTATTAGTGGCAATATGCCTTTTTCTCATAGTATTTTACAAAGATAACACAGCAAGAAGGTAGTAAGATCTTTAGGATATTTTGTTTTAGTATTTTGTTCATAATTTAAAAGTATTGGCTTACTGTAAGCTATGGGTACATGAAGTTCTCTTTTTGGACTACGAATCCCTAGAATTAGTCCAGTATGAACAACACAGTTATTAATATTTGGTGTTTTATGTTCCATGTTTATCAACTGATATTTTTCAAAA